TCATGCATTGGGTTTAGGGAGATGTGGGAGGGTGGGTGTGGGGACACCCACAGATGAGGGGCCACGGGAAGCCTTTGTGGAGAGGCCGAGGTCTGTGCGCCCCATGTCCTCCCCGGCCGAGGTCTGTGCGCCCCATGTCCTCCCCGGCCGAGGTCTGTGCGCCCCATGTCCTCCCCGGCCCCATAGGAGTTCTGGAGACGAGCCCCCACACCTTGCTTCCTCGTCTCCCTCCTGTGATACTCGGTGTGCACAAACAGGGCTCGCTCTCTGAGTGGCTGCCATAGCATGTGGCGGGTGCAGGGCGCTGTGCCGGGGCCTGAGCCCCTCTCAGACTTCAGCAGCCTTGCAGAGACTGAAGTTTCCTCCTGTCAACAGGGAGCCTGCCACGGGCGGAGCTGTGGCCTGCGTTCAGGCTTGTCTGGACTCCGTACTTCACGGGAGGTGGCTCCTTCACCACTTTCCTGTCCTCCTCTCTCCTGGCATCTTCAGCTCCTGTTGGAAATGGCAGCCCTGATTTCCCTCCGTCCTGCTTAATCTTGCAGGGCCTCTGAGCAGCCAGAAAAGTCAGTCCCGAGCCAGGCTTCGGAGATGCAGCCTCAGGACTGTGTAGCATCGCTTCCCCTGGGGCTGGGTGGGTCTAGGTAATCACTAACCCCCTATCCAAGTTCAAGGGGAAGGGATGTCCACCCCATCACGTGGGAAGACAGTCAGTCAGACTCACACTGTGAGACAAACATGGGAAACAGAGAAGGCCTAGTCTGCACAGAAACTCATTTCTGGGCCCTCTGTCTCTTCTGATACACCAAGGAACAAGTCTCAGGTTGGCACTAGTTTGTCTTCAACTTTCCAATTTGCACATTTCCCTTGGCTGGGTATGGGGATACCTGCCTGTAATCCCAGCCCCTGAGGGCTGAAGTAGAAGGATGATGAGTTCCTGGTATCCTGGGTTACATAGCAGCACCCTGTCTCACACAGACAAGAGCCGACTTTAGGCTATCATGAATTAAATGCCCTTTTCTCTCCAATGTGTTTGCATAACTTCGTCAACTGTAAATAATTCTGAATTTCCATACTCGGCAATGATGTGACGTGAGTTTATAAAACACGACAACCTAAAGAGAAAAACTAAAAACAAAGCACAAGGTCTTCTTTGCTGCTGCACATGGACCTACTCGTGCATGTGATCCAGAACATTCCATCCACCAGTGTGGCAAAAGCTTACACACAAGCCGATGGCCATCGGCTGGGAAGCTCTGAGAGCATTCAGAGTGAGCCCAGACCCGGCAGAGAGGCGGCTGGAAGCTCGCTGGGGAGACGGGGCTGGGTGGCAAAGGCACAGCACGGGTGTGCGGCTTGCCGGCAACGGTGAAAGTAAAAGCAGGACGTGGCCACGTGAACACTGGGAAGCAGGCGGGTGACAAGAAAGCCACACAGCTGTTGTCTCTGGGGAGGTAGACTCAGGAGACATACTGTCCACTGTAAAAAAAAATATATATATCACTATATATATATATATACATATATATATATATACACATATGCCTTTTAAATTTGGAGCTTGCAGTATGTTATCTAGTCAAAGACTGATAAGCTTGGTATCTTCAAATACAAGAAAATGGCAGATCTTTCCTGCCTTCCAATGAATAAAACAAAAGGCTGTGTCTAGCAGTGGGGGGACGTGTTCCCTTCCCGCGGTGAGGTTCCACTGGGAAATGTATCACTCCCGGGGTGCTGGAGTTCAGCGGCGATGTCCACCATCCCACGGCCCTGCTGCAGCTCTTCTTCCTCTCCACAATGGACACTTGGGCTGTGACGTGGTTTCCAAGTCCCCCCATCCGCCCTGTCAATGGGAACTCAGCCTCCCCTCTGGGCCCTGAGCACCGCAAGGTGGTCCCAAGCCGCATGCGCAAGCTGGCTGCCCAGTGCCTGGTGAGCGCAGAGCCCATCCTGAGGGGGCGCCTAGACTGGGCACATCAGCCAGAAGCTAGAGCTTGCACCCCCGGGGCTTGGCTGCTTTGGAAACGATGTGAATGAACCAGGGGATGTTGGCCCTTCCTGCCATCACCCTCCATGGCCCCTCCATAACTACCTACTGTTCTTGTGATCAGACAGCCTGGGGCGCTCCTTTCCCAGGGCGGTCCCCAGAGGGACATGAGACCCCTTTTCTCTCTCATTCAACTGCAGGCGTGCAGATAACATGTCTCTCCACTGGAAAAGCAGAACACTACATAGCAACCAAGTTCACCTCACGCCTCACTTTTTCCAAATGATATGTTCTTACTCTCTCACTCTTTCATTTTTGTTTGGGGATTTGAACTGAAGACCTATGCTTGCTCAGCTTGCTTGCCTGGCTGTTGCTCTACCACTTGAGCCCCACTTCCAGCTCTGCTTTTTGCTGGTCACATTGGGAATGGAGTCTAGCAGACTTTTCTGCCCAGGCTGGCTTTGAATTGCAATCCTCTAGATCTTAGCCTCCTTTGTTGCTAGGATTACAGGGGTGAGCCACTGGTTTCCAGCTTAGAGACAACAGTCAGGCACCAAATAAATAAACACAATGCATTTAGGCATTCCCTGACTGCTGACATTTGCATCTTTTCCAGACCCACAGCTGCTTTGGGTGTCTTTTGGCCCCCACATCTGAGTGTTTTTCTTGGGAACATACAAATCGCCAAGTCATAGGATGTGAAACTTTTGTTTTTAACAAGTAATGCTAATTTGCCCTTCAGAATGGGCAAGCAAGTGAGCGTAGGCTAATGTATGCTCCTGTGAGCAGCCTTTGAGCATGCCAGCTCCAGTGCGGCCTCTGCAGCACCTGAGGCCGTCAGCCGCCTCAGCACTGCCAGCCGCAGGTGGCAGATTCTATCTTGTTACGATTTATTTCCTGATTTCTCATGAGGAGCAAGCGTCTCCGTGGGTCTATCGGCTGTCTTCGTTCCCTTGTGTGAATCCTTCATATTTGTTACTTGCTTCACCTCATTCTCCTATCTTGTCTTCTGATTGTTTCTAGCAAGATTTTTAGTATTTGGGTTTTGGTTTGTTGTTGTTGTTGTTGTTGTTTTAATCTTGTTTTGTAGTAAACTGGGAATTGAACTTAGGGAATTGAACTTAGCGCCTTGCACTTGCTAGGTACTCTACCATTTGAGTCATGCCCCCTCCCAGCCCTTTTGTTTTTAGTTTGTGTTTCAGATAGGGTCTCATACTTGTCAGCCTCAAACCATGAGCCTCCTACCTCTACCTCTCAAGCTTCTGGGCTTACAGCATGTCTCGTCCTGCTCAGCCCTAGCAGTGTTTATTGATCCAGTCCTGGGCTTTACTCTTTTGACGCTGAGTTGTTGGGGAGGAGCCAGGAGACGGGAAAGGCTGGGAAGCCTCATGTCACCTCCGTGGCCTCTCCTGGCCCAGGCTCCTCCTGAGAGTCAGGCCAAGTGGCTCCCAAGGCAGTCGCGCAGGAGGCCTCCGTGAGGTCTTCCTTCCTACTCCAAGCGAATCCGCACTTGGCCCTCCAGATGTAATCAGCCTGTCCCGAGGGCCATGGCAGGCCTGTCCGGGGCTACAGGAGGTGGTGCAGGAGTTCCACAGCCAAGTCGCCCCAAAGTGGTATCTCCTTATCACCCCCGAAGGATGGTGTTGTGCCCGGGTCTGTGCACACCGCCTCATCTCTCCCTAACTGCCCCCCCCCCCCCCGGGTCTCATGCAGAGCGTGCGGAGCACAGGCTCCCACCTGCTCTCTGTACTGCAGTTTTCTTCGGAAATCTCCCCATTCTCACAGGGCTTTGATGTCTCAGTGGCTTCTCTGAACGCTGTTCCTCTTTGGGTGCTGTCCTTCCTTTTTCACTGTGTGGGGGGGGGGGGGGGGGAGGGAGGCTGGTAAGTGCTTCCCTCTGCAGCCCCTAAGGCCATTTGCTTCATGGCAGGGGTGGGGGAGGTGGTCACTTCCAACTCCATCTACTTTTCAGGCCCCATATCTAGATCAGTTCCTCTGCAAAGGCCGGCAGAGGGGGAGCCAAACCGTCCTGCTGGTGGAGTGGGACTGGGCCTGGAGGAAGGGGGGGGGGGGGAGAGAGAGAGAGAGAGAGCAGCTATTTTGTTCTTAATGAGAAAATGCTGTAAGTCTTGACTAAAGACATAAACCCTAGTTACCACAAAGACAGTGCTTCTGCCAGTGCGTAAGATGGCTATTGTTCCTGACACTGCAGACTAGACATCAGGAGAAAGCCACTCAGGATGGAACGAGAAGTCCAGATTACTAACAAAAGCCTCAACAATGAGGGACCTTCTTCCAGCCTCCCAGGCGCACAGCCGTGCCTCAGGGCCTCGCACCTTCTGTGCAGAGCTCTCAGCTGCCAGATGCCCAGTTGTGGTCTTGATGCTGTTACAAAGGGCAAGACTCTCTTGTACTGTCTGCAGGTAGCTTAGACAAACAGCATCTCCATGGTAAACTGCCTGGTCCATAGGAAGCCTGACACACTCCTGGGATTCTGCCTGTTGATGTTCCTGTAGTTTGTTGTTGTCTTGGTGCTGGGGATGAACTGTGGACCCTGAGCCTGCTTGGCAGGCCTTTAACCACTGAGCCGTACCCCCAGCCCTAGCTGTTCTTCTTCTTGTTGTTTATCATTCATGGGGTTTGAACTCAGGCACTGTCCCTGAGTGATTTTTGTTCAAGGCTAACATTCTACTACTCTGAACCACAGTTCTATTTCCTGTTAGTTATTTTTAAGCTAAGACTCGAGTACCTCCTATGCAGTAAGTTGGTTTGTGTGACATTTGCATGAGTGTGCATTATTCCCATTTTTCAGTGTAGGAATCTGAAACTCAGACAGGTGGAGACACTTGCCCGGCATCACTGACTGAGAAGCAACTCAGACTCAGCTCTGTGTGACTCAGTGCCCACACTCAGACCCATGAACTCATGGGTCTGCGCAGCCACCTCAGCAGACGAAAGGCAGCCAGGCTGGGTAGCCACCCTGGGTCTCATTCTGCTCTCTGCTCCTTTCTCCTAGATAACAGCGACTTGATTGCTTGCACGGTGATCACTAAGGACGGCGGCATGGTCCAACGGTTCCTAGCCGTAGATATTTACCAGATGAGTTTGGTGGAGCCTGATGTGTCCCGGCTTGGCTGGGGAGTGGTCAAGTTTGCAGGCCTTCTGCAGGTAAGGTGGAATCTCCTCTCAATGGCTATACAAAACATGTATCCTAGATTACCAGCTTTTCAACCCGTTTCTGATGACACAGGAACATGTGAACAAATTGCCACTAAAAAGAGCCAAAACATGGCACAGGTAAGTCCAGAACCTCATGGTCAAAACCCTCAGTGCTTACACCTCCCCTGAATAATCAGGCTGCAGGAGATCCCCTCACTATTTTTTAAATTGTGACATCAGCCTTTCATAGCTGCAGGTTCTACATCTGCAGATTCAGCTAAGCATCCAGCAAAGTCCTTGAAAACAATTATGCTGCACTAAGCATGTACAGACTTTTATCCTTAGTTCCTTACCAGCCTTTTACACACAGCATGACTGAATTAAGTATTTATTTCAAGTCACCTCAAGAGGATTTAAAAGTGCACATTTTATATGAAGACTTGAACAACTGCAAATTCTGTGTCTTCAGAAGGTCCTGGAACCAGGCTCCCTTGATACCGAGGGACAATTGGGTATGTACTAGGGTGCATACATTAGTTATGAAGTCGTATTCACACATGCCAGGCTTGGCTTCATTCACTCAGTGGCATGCTTTGAGAGCTTTTTTTTGTTACTGGCTGGTCCTGGCTTTGTACCTTTCCAAGCAGTACTGCTGTGAACAGAATCACATCACTTCCTTATTATGCACACGGGCAGGATTGCCTAGGCAAATAACCAGGAATTTGGGATGTTCCTATTTTAAGTGATGATAGACAAGTCCAACTTCCCCTACAATGACTGTTGCCTCCAAAAATTTATGAGAATTCCCTTTCTCCTCTCTTCCCGCCTCCCTCCCCTCCTCGACCCATCACAGAGTGGTTCTACATTACCCAATGGCCAGTTGGAAGTTGGGGCTTTTTTTAATGTTTGGCAATACCATGCAGTGGTTGACTAATGCCAACCAACCCAGTAAATATTGAAACAATGAGCCAGCAGAGTTGAGAACAGCCTTCCAGCTAACTCTGCCATGCCCCTGTCCTCGAATTTCCAGCAAACTTGTCCCAGCCTGAAAGTCACAGTCCATTTCCTGACCATGAAGTTCTGCTTCCTGCAAAGATCCTACCCTGGCTGACCTATTTCCGCCTTACCACAGCATGACCTGGCTGTGTCCCACTGTCCCTGAGAACCACCCACACGTGTGAGACACCACTGAAGCCTCATTTTCAGGATCTTCCAGTTTAGGGAATACCTGTTAGAGCAGATACCTGTAATTCTAGGAGGTGAGATCCGAAGGATCATGGTTTAAATCCAGCTCAGAAAGAAAAGTCCAAGAGATTCCATCTCCAATTAACCAGAAAAAAGTTGGGCTATAGATGTGACTTCAGTGGCAGAGCTCCAGACAAGTAGGCATGAGACCCTAAGTTCAAATGTCAGTACCGGCAAAATTAATTAATACTAATTTTTTTTTTAAATCTTTTAGAGAGCGTATTAAGAAAAAAGAATCTTTTATTTAAAAACAGAAAACAAAAAAACACTTGCACCAGGCACGGGGGTTCACACTTGTCATCAGCTATACTAGGAAACATTACTAGAACTATGGTCTAGTCTGGCCCAGGCAAAAAGCAAGATCCTGCCTCAGAAGTAACCAGAGGGGGGGTGGGGAAAAGATGGAGCCACAGCTCAAATGAGAGAGCCTGCCAGCAAATGTGACACTGTGAATGTAAACTCTAGTACCACCAAAGAAAAAACCACCTTTTTTTAAATGAATAAAGACTTACATGTAAGACATTCATTAGGTGACTTATACTTCTTATTTATCTAGACTTATGATCGATTTCTTTTAGAATTTAGTGTCAGGAAAGTGTTTTTCTCTTGCAAAGGATTAATGGGGACCTCCATCAGACGATGAAAGCCACATAAACCTTTTTTTTTTTTTTTTGGTCCTCTTCCAATAGCCACTATTTGTCAGGTTGTCACAACATTCCAAGCTCCCTGCTGGGAATTCTAATTTTGATGCAGGTGATGTTTCCAAAGCACCCGCCAGTGCCCAATGCGATGCTTGAAAACAGCCCATCTTCCCCTGGGAGCCTCTTCCAACACCGCCCACCTCCCCTGGCTTTCCTCCACTTCCTTCACAACTTTGAGGAAGTGCATTCTCCACACAGAATCATTCTGAGGTTTTATGTGGAACTAACGCTGTCATGCTTGCTGGCCCACCCTTCCTACAGGGTTTATTCAAAGCCTCCCTGGTCCTTTCTGAGGGTTAGCTTTTCTCTCTAGGAGCAAAAAGACACAGAAAAGTATGCCAGCCATGAGAAGGGAGAAGTCGGGGATTGTCCCTGATCTCATGCCAGGCACAGTAGGGATGTGGGTTTGCCCGCTGTTTCCCAGAAGTAAGAATTGTTGGACTTGGCCTGTTGAGCTGCCAGTGGGAAGGGCCACCATGCCAGCATCAGTTCCTTCCCAGCACTCTGCGGCCTGCCCTATCTTCTCCCATTGTGCCCATCCTAGACTATCAGACTTGAGAGTTGGTTGTCTCCCCTGGAGCAAAAGAAAAGTGGAATTAAGGACGTCTTTCTAGGTGGTCCCGTGGCCCCAGAGAAAAAAGCTGCCCTCCTCCCAGGTCTGACGCGTACCCTGGCCTTTGTCTCCTCGTGCTGCAGGACATGGAGGTGACTGGGGTGGAGGATGACAGTCGTGCCCTGAACATCACCATCCACAAGCCTGCATCCAGCCCCCACTCCAAGCCCTTCCCTATCCTCCAGGCCACGTTCATCTTCTCAGACCACATCCGCTGCATCATCGCCAGGCAGCGACTGGCCAAGGGCCGCATCCAGGCACGGCGCATGAAGATGCAGAGGATAGCTGGTAAGTGGCCTGGCCTGGCACAGGATCTTCCTGGTCCTCACGGGAGACACATCCACAGCCCTGTCATGTCCTCTAGGAGAGGGTGCGTGTGGTAGGGATTGACTCACTTTAAAGGAATGAGACTACTTTCCCACGTGTTTCCCAAGGGTTTGCTTTCCTGAGAATGTCCATGGCTGCAGGGGTTCCTTCCTAGCAGGCCATAGGACAACCATTGTCTCCTCCTTGTCGAAATCCCCAAGCTTACAGTTATAAGTATCTGTCATTTCTCTACCGCCTCGCCTGTGGATTTGTAGGCCCTCTTCTACCCATTTATAGAGGAAGAAACGGAGGCACAGTGACTTGTCAGAGCCACACAAAGAATAAGTTGGCAGAATGAGTTGCTGCTCTAGAACAGCTATTTGGTTGGTTTGAGGTGCTAGGTTTGGACCCCGGCTCGGCAAGCACCAACCACTGAGCTCCAGCCCAGCCCAGCAGAACTTTCTTCTCTAAAGGCCCCCTCTTCCTCCTCTCTTTCCCCAGCTCTCAGGAGGAGCTGCCCTGCTTGGCAGGGGGCCACAGCCCAGAACTGAATTGGGAAGTTTTTCATTTCACAGGGTTTGGGACAAATTCACAGGAAGGCTCTGGGTCTTCTTAGCAAAGGTACTGTTCATCTCTCAGGGGTGGAGCCGCAGTGGTAGGGGAGGGTCCTGTCAAGCCTTCTGCCTTGGGCTTGGCAGCCCATGGGCAGGCAGGCACCTATCAAGGCTGGGTTTCTGGACAGGGCAGCCTCAGGGGTTTACTGGCCCTGCCTCACGGTCTGGGTCCACACTGTCCCCTTTCTTCTACCCAGCTGTAGACTTGGCCTACAAAATCATTACAGAAGCATGTTGTAATGTACAAAGTGTCTTAAATCATTCAGCCCTTTCTTTCTTTGAAGATTTATTTTCCAACTTTTTTTTTTTTAATGTAAAGCCATTTCTCATAGCTGGCACGAAGGCCAAATATTTCATTTGAAAATTGAGAATTATGCTGTAAAGTGGTTGTTAGAACTAGCGCCTTAGGTAGTTCTTAAATTGATTTTAAAAGGCTCCTCTGAACTGATATACCAAGAGATTTGTTTACGGAGGAGAGGGGAGCAGCCATGACATGTAAACACTCTCATAAATACACACACACACACACACACACACACACACACACACAACTTCTTCCCCCATGTGAATATACTCAGCATTCCACATCATGGATGAGAACCTCCAGAAAAGAATGGCTTCTGGACTGAACATGCACAGACCTGCTTCCTTATCAGTGCTCCCTGCACGATGTGGTATGGCCACTTTTTCCAAAGCATTGATCGCATTGAGTGTTAATTATCCAGAGGTGACTTCCAGTACAGGGAGGCTATGTGTAGGATGGACAGATAAACAGTGCCATTTAGGTAAGGGACTTGAGCAATTGCAGTTGTCAGTATATCTGGGGGTCCTGAGGCCCAACTCCTACAGATGCCAAGGGACCATTCATGGAGAGAAAGACACGTACGTGTGTATGTATATATAATTATATATGTATATGTGTATATGAATGTATAGTTTTCAGAGTAAAATTGGCCCCATTGTATATAAAGAACTAGTGAGGGTCTTTTGAGACATTCTCACTTAATGACTCAGGTTGGTCTAGAACCTGTGATATTCCTGCCTCAGGCTCCCAAGTCCTAGGAATACAAGCCTATGTTAGCATGTTTGGCCTGGTGAGCATCTTTTGTCAGGGGTCTTTGGAAGCTGAGATCCCAAGAGAAGTGTTAGCCTAGCAACCGTTCTAAGAGCCAAGTGTAGAACCCTCCCTTCCTGGTCTCAGCCTTGGCCTGAGGCCCTCACCAGATGCCTAGTTGTGTTTTATGATTTGAGCCACAAGGGGATCAGTATTCTGCTGGTGTCCCCGGTTCAAGGCTGTCTTCTTGGCATCTCCCTTGTGTCGTGACTAGCAGGGCCATGGCTTCTAAAGCCTGTCCTGAGACTCCTCGTCGCCTGTGCCTTTGCCACTCGCTGAAACTATGTGGTTTGATTGCAGCCCTGCTGGACCTCCCCATCCAGCCAACTACCGAAGTCCTGGGATTTGGGCTTGGCTCCTCCTCATCCACCCAGCACCTGCCTTTCCGCTTCTACAACCAGGGCCGGCGTGGCAGCAGTGACCCCACAGTGCAGCGCTCCGTGTTCGCCTCTGTGGACAAGGTGCCAGGTAAGGCGGGGCCTGTGCAGCCTTCCTCTCAGCTCCTCGGCATGCACTGAGCTCAGTCCAAGTTAACACGAACCCCAGAAAGTCACCTGGGCTTTCCCTTGGTTCTTCTGCAGTCTGGGTTCCAATTTCCAGAGGTTCATTGGGCATGTGGAAGAGCTTCTCAGAACTGAGACTAAGAAGTTTCTTGGAAATTTCTTGGAAATACTTGAATTATTAGTAATGAGGTTGTGGGAGTGATCTCCCCGACAGAAGCTTCCTACAAGATAGTGCTTGTGGTTCCTAGTACCAGAGCTGAAGAAGTGAGACTTCCCAGGAAGCCACTCTGCCCAGTTCCTTCCCTTCCATTCCTTCCTCTGGAGGCCCCCCTCCCTCCTGTTCACCTCCCCCAGAGGAAACTGGAAGGGAAAGGTCAAGGGCATTTTGGCTGAGCAAGAGTTGCCTGTTTTTCCGGTGTTGCAGGCTGTAAGTGTATCCGTATGTTCGCCTCAGATCTTCCATCCCTGGAAAGGGGGGGCGGGGGGCGGGCCTTCTCTCCACTACAAATCCTAGAGAGCGGCCAGGCTTCCTGCCACCTCCCCCTCTGCAGCCAGGGCTCCAGCTGGAGTCGCAAGTATTGCTTGCCACTCTCAAAGTTGGGTTGACATAAGAAGGCGCAGCCCTAGGAAGCTGCTCCAGTGCAGGTCCTTGTCTCCCGGGGTCTGTACTGCAGTCCCAGTTTGAGTTGATTCTCGTGTGTCTACATCATATGTACACGTATGAACCTGAGACACAAATAACCGTAAACTCAAAATGCAGCCATCTGGTTTTGATGTGAGCAGTCAGAACCCAGTAACTTTGAGGCAGATCTTATTGTTGGGTTTCGTGCATGGCCTTCCACCAGCACTCACTAGTGGCAGGACGATTCTGTATGTCTGCGAGTACAAACATGGGGCTACACCCTGCGTGGCCATCTGCACCTCACTCGACGCCAGGGCAGCTTCACATTGGCACCTCTAGTGGGTTTGCCTTTCTTAGCTGCTGTGTGCTACTCTAGCATCAGTATGGACCGCAGCGTCTTATAGAGCCATACTGGTCACAGCGAACACTCAGGGTGTCTTTGTGTCATTGTGCTGATCTTCACATGTCTGTGGAGTAGATTGCCAAGTCAGAGGAGGAGAGGAAGGTCTCTAGCCTTGACACATGTAGTCTCAACATGACTCCAGATAGTTCCCTGTTTGCCATGCTGCCACAGCCTGTGACCGGCTCTGTCCTGAAAGATGAACCTGAGCTGGGAGTCATAGCGGCCGCCTGCATTTTCCAGCTAGCAGGTGTGACTGAGCTCTGCCCTTCCAGCCTCTGGAATGCTCCCAGTTCAAGTTCTGGAGAGATGGAGGATTGCTCACACATGGGAGTCTAGGTCAGCTGCATAGGGCCTGGCCTGGTGACAATCGCTTGGTCTGGGTCACCAGGTTTCTTTCCTCTATAGACACTCAATGGCATAGGAGAAAGCCCGGACCTGTTTCCAGGCTAGTCTTTTGTGGAACACAAAACTATAAGCAGAGCCGAGTGCCGCAGTCCGTAGTGTCTGCATATCAGTTCCATCGGCGGAGTGTGTGGTGACGCCTGGGTCCTTGCCCCTGCTCTCACCCCGTCCCACTCCACTCCTGGGCCTGGGCCCACCAGGCGGGCTAGGTAGCATACCTGGCTCCCCTGGTGTCCTGCTGGTCCCCAGCCAGGGCCTGTGAGGCTGTGCCAGCAGATACCGCAGCATGAGACAAGGCACTTCCCAAAGTGGCATCCCCACACTCCCTCCCCGGAAGTGCCATGCGGTGTTAGGAGGGCGGAAGACAGCATTGTTTATGTCCCCCAGGAGGAGAACCTCACTGAGCACCTCCCTGCCCTGCTGGGTAACAGAGCACATGGCAACCCTGTACAGAGGGTCTGTACAGAGGGGCTGTGGGCAGTGGCTCTGGGTGGAGAACAGCCACAGCCCTTCCCAGAGCCGCACCCCTGCGCACCTCATCCAGACCCTCCCAGCCTGGGGCTGCAGCCTCCTCTTTGGTTTCCCCAGACTCCAACCCCACCCCTTTCCATTCAGACAACTAGATCTGTTCAGCGCATAGGTGAGATCATGTTGTACGGTGGTGCCCTGCCATACAACTACCCAGTAGCTTCCTATGACACTTACCACAAAATACATGTATCTCTTTTTGATCTTTTCTTACATAAAGGCCAGTTTTTCATACCTAGTATATATGTATGGTACACAGCACAGATTTTCAAGCTTACTAAACATGTATAGCCTATAGTACAATGTTTTTATACTTAGCACATATGTATGCCTGATAAAGGGTGTGTGTGTGTGTGTGTGTGTGTGTGTGTGTGTGTGTGTGTGTGTGTGTGTGTGTGTGTGTGTGTGTGTGTGTGTGTGTGTGTGTGTGTGTGTGTGTGTGTGTTGGTCCTGGGCCTTGAACTCAAGGCCTGGATGCTGTCTCCGAACATTTTAGCTCAAGACTAGAGCTCAACTGTTTGAGTCACATCCCTGCTTCTAGCTTTTTTTGTGGTTGATTGGTGATAAGAGTTTCATGAGGGCTGGGAAGGTGGCTCAGTGGTAGAGCGCTTGCCTTGCATGCTCAAGGCCCTGGGTTTGATTCCTCAGCACCACATAAGCAAAAAGAAAAAAAAAGCCGGAAGTGGCGCTGTGGCTCAAGTGGTAGAGTGCTAGCCTTAAGCTGAAGAGCTGAGGGACAGCGCCCAGGCCCAGAGTTCAGGCCCCACGACCGGACCCAAAAAAAAAAAAAAGAGTTTCATGAACTTTACTATTGGGGCTATGATCCTCAGATCTCAGCCTACTAAGTAACTAGGATTACAGGTGTGAGCCATCAGTGCCCCGTAAGCTTTCTTGAATAAATAAATGGGTGGGTAATTTACTAGGAAACTAACATTTCTGGTCATTTGGCTTTCAAATACATGGCTGATTTGATCTTACATTTAAGTTCTCTATTGGTGGGAGGCTTGTCTAGTTTAATACCAGCCTAACTTTTTGAGGACTTAGTATGCCTAAGCACTACTTACTTGAAGGGTTGTTTTGATGGGTATCACAGGAATATAGCTTAGGTAGAGCAGAAATTTTGGATCAGAATTCTGATCTGTTAATGATGCTCACGTCTTACCTATGGGATGAAGAGAAGGAGTGGGACTTCTCCGTTGATTATTTTGGTTAGGTTAAATCTATTCTGAGTTTCTGTTTTACTTTATTGTTATTTTTAAGGTGATATACAGAGGGATTACAAATTAAATGAGTCAGGTAACGAGTACATTTCCTTTGTACAGTGTCATCCCTTCTTTTACTCCCATTCCCTCCCTCCCATCTCCACCCACAAGTTGTATAGTTCACTTTCATCAGTGTCCAGTGAGCTCTACTGCTGTACTTCTCCTTTTGATCTTATTCTATTGCTGAGACAAAGCTCAAGGCTCAAGACAACCCTTCGAGGCTCCCCTTGAACCCTCCAACCCCTGGCTCTCTGCAGCTGCCCCTACCCAGTGCCAGCGCCATTCTATCCTGGGCTCAAGACACCTCACACTCTGGGCAGACAAACCCAGAGAGCACCCCTGGTGTGTGGATAGAGAGCTGTCTGTATTAGAGAAAGGCTTTTAGAAATCAGTTCATAAGTCCATTGTATATAAACAGAAACATGGTTTTCTAGAAACAATAATTTCCAAAAACAAAAAATCGGCTGTCTATTCTTCATGCCTGGAAAATAGACAGCTGGTGCCTCCTCCCTGCTGCTTTCGGTCAGTCGCATGCCTGTCTCACGTGGTCTCTGGAAACTCCTCTTGCATCCCCAGGAAAAGGAATATAAACAGGACCTTTTACTATTTTTAGGAAAACTTGGCTTCCCAGAGCACATTTTAAGAACCACTACCTGTCCTCAAGGCCTTTGCATAGATGCCCCTGCCTAGATCTGAGGTGACTGCCTCCTGCTGACTGCTCCAATCCAGCTTGTGTGCAGCCTCCCCTAAAAGGCCTTTTTTGGGGCCACACCCGTAATCTATTCAGGAGGCTGCAAGCTGAGAATCGTAGTTCGAAGCCAGCATGGGAAGGAAAGTCCCTGTGAGACTCTTATCCCCAAATAACCATCGGAAAACAAGAAGTACCACTGTAGCTCGAAGTGGTAGAGTACTAACCTTGTGCAAAAGAGCTCAGGGACCACACCTAGGCCCTGAGTTCAAGCTGACCCCCCTCTTCCTCAAACAAAGAGGCCTTTTCTGATCACTGCCCTGGGCAGGGTTAAACCCGCCCTTTGGCACATCAGCCTGGTTTTCTATATGGCATCAGTTTTTTTTCCTGACATGTGTGTGTATCTGCCCACGGCCTTTCTCCACCAAGGAAAATGTCACCCACATGGATCCCTAATCTGTCCTGTTTGCCTCCACCAGACCTCAGAGTCTAGCACTGTGGCTTTGGTGATTGAAAGTGAATCTCTGACAGCCTTGGCTGGCCCAGACCTGGCAAGGGCTCTGTCTCCCTTGTGTGAGCACCAGAAAGACCAGGACGTTCCCCTGAGGCCCTAGTCAATTTACTGGTGAGTCTGGGATGCTTTGACAAGAGACATGAGATCTCTGAGACCCCAGTCTTCTGTCACCCCAGTGAGGGAAAGGCACCTGGGACAAGTGCACCCAAGTGATCATTCAGGGTTTGCACATCACAACTCAGCACCAGAAGCTTGGCACCTGCCACTGTGGACCAGACCCCTTCTACCTTCCATGGTGCTGACCCTCCCCATCAGACCCAGGCTACATGCTGGGGATGTCTGCAAGTGGGCCTTGCTATATGAGGATACTTTCCGTCCCAGCAGCTGCCAAGACTTGTCCTGTCGCACTGCCTCTGTCCTGCAGAAAGTGTAAATGGTTATACTAGATGAAGATAGCCCTTCCATCTCCTTGGCGGGGAGGCATTGAAGGAGAGAATTAATCACCACCTCTGCTTTTTGGCCTGCTTTATATCCTCTCTGCCCCAC